AATTGGGAAGGGCCCAGAGCTTGTCCTGCTTGGCTCAGAAGAACTCCTTTATCAAGTTTCCCACAGAAGCTGTGGCTGCCCCTGGATCCCTGCAAGTGTCCAAGGCCAGGCTGGACAGGGCTTGGAGCAACCTGGGATAGTGGAAGGAACAAAGTGATATTTGAGGTCCCTTCCAACTCAAACCCCTCTAAGTGGTTTGGGGTGGCACAGGTAGGCTAATGCCTTTCTCCAGGTCATCCAGATGGGATTCAGAGGAGTGTCCTCCAATCCCAGCCCCTCCCCACATGTCCCTGAAGGGTCAGCAGAGCCAGGGAAGCGTTGGGTGGTGATTCCTGTCCCTTCCATCAGTCACTGGGAGCCCATCAGAGATGGGTGTGCAGCCTTTTGGAGCAATGACCACCTGCTGTGACAATGCCAATCCATTACCTAAGCCCTGAGAGGGCTTCAAGAGCACAGATTAAACAACAACACCCTCCTCATGTAAAGAAAACAAGAATCCACAGCAGAGGTAGAAAGTGTAGAGCAGGTGAGTCACCAGGCCCAGACCTGTATCCTCCAACATCCCTCCTCTCCTGGCTGACCAAAACCTCCCAACCCTCCTTTGAATCAGCCTTTTGTCATGAAGAGCCAGATGAAAACATCAAGTTTCCACTGCCACTTCAGTGATAATTCACAACAGAACTGAAAGAACCGATCTGCTACGAAAAAAAATATTAAATAAACAACACCCAGGCACTATTGAATTAAATCCAGTATTGTATTTTGCAGCCAGATTTCTAGGAAATGCTGTGAATAATCCAAGTAATTCAGTGGAGTGTTGTTTTTATTTTGTTGTTGTTGTTTTTACAAAACACAGCAGCACGTGGAGTTTCAGTTCTGCAGCAGAACCCTCCGAAATCGGGAGGGTTCGTTTTCTTACAGGCCTCCTGATAGTTCTCAGAATTAAAAAACCTGCAGGAAACCTGGGAGCCACCCCCTTTCATGCTCTCCCCACAGGTTGCAGCATCTCCTGCTGGAAAACTGGGCATCTCATGGGGGGGAAAAACCCATTGCAAAAGGATTCGTTTCACAAAGACACTGAGATTCATCTCCTAGCTAAGCAAACAATTCCAGGACAGATAAAGTCAAATATAAAACAAAAAAAAAAAAAAAAAAAAGGAAAAAGCCCTCACAGCACACATACCAGGCTGAACTGCAAACTGAAAAACAAAAACAAAGCAGCTAAAATATATCCAAACATCCCAAGCCAGACCGGGGCCTTGGGGCCCTTCAACACAACTGCAATTTATTGTGCCAGCAAAACCAATTAATAAGTCAAAGGAGACCGAGCACTGAGGGATTTGCTCTGGAAGACAAGAAAAAAGAAAAAAAAGATGCTGCAGGATTTGTTGAGCCAGCTCTAAAACAATGCTCCAAAGTTCAGAGATCCCCAGCACGATACCGGCACTCCTTCCTTTGGGTTCTGCCAGAGGAAGTGGAAAAACCTCCGGGTTTGTGTCTTATCGGGCAAAGTTCTCGGCTCAATTAAAAACCTCCTCGTATATTGGCTGAATTTAATCACCTGCAGGCAATACCTGTGACTCTGGAGCTAAATCCACCTGCAGCAGGCACTGGATATTCCTTCACCTCCAGGTGATCCTCAGGTTTGGACTGGGCCTCCACAATCATCTCATTACTCACTTCAATTTGCCAGACAGGGCTAAAAAAACACAACTCGTTTGTCAGAAGAACCTTAGGGAAGATTTAGGTGACTTAAGGACCAGGGAGGGGGGCACCAATTATCACCAGGGCCTGCCAGCTTTGCTGGTGCAAGAGGTTTGTTCCACAGACCCAAAAAAATGAGTAAAACAGGGATTTTCATCAGCAAGGTGACAGAGGACAGCTATAAAAACAGACAGTGTACACAGAAAACAGACCATGGCCAACAGCTCCCATCCCTCTCTCCATCAGAAACCTCCAACTGGGCAGGAATAGATTTATTTCCTTGTTTTTCCTCTTGATATTGCCTCTACAGAGCAACTAATCTGACTTTCCAGCCCCAGCCCCAGTTAAACTGGAAGAATTTACCTTCTACAAGGCACTAGAAGCCACAAAAGTGGCTCTCAGGCAAGTTTTTCCACTTTTTCTAGAGAAAAAAATCAGAGTATGCTGGAAACTGGAACTTGTAGCTGAAGGCATGGGCTCCTTTGAAAACTTCTTAAGTGGCTAAAAATTTGGGAAGTTTATCAAAGAAGTTGGTGCGTGGTTGGGACCACAACAACCCTCTGAACTCCCCAAATGCACTTCCCAAATATTAATTCACTAGAAAATCCTGCTGGCTTTTTCCTCAGCTCCTGAGTAATTAACAGAGCTACAAATTATTAAATACCCAAAGTTTTTACAAACAGCAAATATCCAGAAGGTTCTCACAGAGCTCTGCCAAGATCCTCCTCACTGCAACACTTTAAATTCAAACTGAAGCCTCAGCTTTTAAAGTTTTAAGATCGCTGCAGCTGCTTTGAGAACACAAGAATAAAGACCCAAAAAAAAGTTACCTCTGGCAAAAGGCAGACCCAGGCTCTGAACAGAGCCTCAGATATGCTCAGAAACGAAAACATCCTAATTACTAAGGATACAGAAAACCATATGTATATGCAAGATCTCAGGAGGAGATAAGGGGAAAAGCTCCACTCTGCACAGAGCAAGAGTACCAAAAGATGTTCCTCTACTGAGAAAGGGGAGGGGAAAGCATCAGAAAAAAAAAATAATCAAAGGAAGATGTTTTAAAGGCGGAGCAAGAGCATCTCTTGGTGTCCACAGTGAACTGGAAGATCCCATCAAGTGGTGCCAAGAGGCAGCTTAAGGATTGGGCGGCTGAACTTCAAAATGGCTCGTTTTGGAACTGCCTGAAAAGGTAACTTCTTCATCTGTGGTTTCCTCTGGCCCTGATGAAGTTTTTGGGTGAGGCTCAGGGAATCTGAGTGCATCAAACTCCTGCCCAGTGGGAGTTCTGTTCCCACCAGCAACCCCGCAAGATGTGCTGCCCATCTGCTGCGAGCGGGAGCACAAACCCTCGGTGGAATCAGGCAGCACGAGGTGACTCATCCCTCAGCTGCAACCCAACGCTCAGAAAAGGTCAGCTGGTAATGAGGAACAAGAGCAGCAGCAGATCTGAGCGTGAAACAACCGAGAAATGCGTTCTATTTCCAATCACCGATAACGCGGCGCTCGGTGCCGCTCGTGGGGCCAGGAGGAACTTGCAACATCCCCCTCCTTGCCCTGAACCACACGAGGATGTAGCACAGGAAAGCATCACACACAGTTGCACGAAGCCCTCACTGGCAGCTCTGAGGTGCTGCCTCCTTAAAACCAAGGAGGAAGTTGAGTGATGACACAAAGAGAGGGCAGAAATGCCAACTAGCACGGCACCAAGCCCACAAAAGAGGAGTTGAAACAAGGGATGCCACAACTACAAACGTGCTCTAAAAAATGTGCAGAGATCTCCTTTTGGATTGGGTTTAATTTGGATAGTTCAAGGAAGGCAAGACAAGGTCCTGGAAGGGGACATGCAAGGCTCCATAAAATGCCAGGACAAGGAGCAGTGCTGGGGGCAGGAAGGATTGGGATGAACTGGGTGGCTGCAGAAGACACAACCCACCTTTGTCCTACACCTCCAAAACCAGCAGTGTTTCTCACCAAGCCCTTACAGTGCTCTCAGCCAGAAGCTGGAGGCTTCATCACCTCTCCAGGCCCCAACCTGGATCCCACCCCTCTTACATTCCCAGTCCTCAAGGGGCACTGAGCCAGGTGGGAAGGATAGGAGCGGATCTACCAAGACCTCCTGCTCCACATACCCTCAGAAAACGTCCCTGAGGTCAGGCATTAATTTCTGCCCTTCTGCAACTCCAAAAAGATCTCCTAATTAGAAATGAGAGGACTTGCTTCCAGTTTCACCCTCTGACTCCCAAAAATCAACTCCATGTAATGTTTTCAGAGAAAACAAGTGAGCCAGTGCCAAAGGAGCTGCTGCCACCAGCAGTGCTGGATCCTCTGCAGGTGACACCTGGGACACATTCAGCTTCCCCTTCCACATGTTAACCTAAGGCTTGGTCCCCTGGAACAAGACAGATGAGCCCTGTGACAGCTGCAAGCATCTCCAGGCCTAAATAACTGGAGAATTTTAGTCTTTTCCTCTCGCCATTTGGAAGTCCTGGACACTCCAAGCACTTCCAAGAGCAAGAAGCCCCAGGCCCTGAGGGACTGCATCCTAAAGGGGCTGGTCTCGAGTGGAACTCTCATGAAGGTCTCTCCCTAATACTCTACACATGCTATTTTGGGAGAAACACATGGCAGGGGGTTGGAACTAAATGATCTTTGAGGTCTCTTCCAGTCAAAATTATTCTCCAAAATCAGAAGTTGGGGCTTCACTGCACTTCAAATCTGACTGCAGGACACTTTGTCCCTTTATTAATTGAGTATCTCCAAGATCTCACAGTCACCTTTGTTGAGGCAGATGATACAGGTTTTGAAATTCCACCACTGAATCCTGCTTCAAAGAACAAAAAAAAACCCCTTTGAACTAAAAGATGCATCTGCCAGAGCCATCCAACATTCACCTGATGTTCCTTGACTGGATGTCCCCATCATCAAGGGATCCAACACCTAACACACGATCCCCACTCCAGCAAAACACCAGCAAATACACCTGGCCAGGCTGTGTTACAGCAAAACATCATGAAAGGACTTGAAAAAACAAGGAGCCACCCAGAATAGTCACTGATGACAACGTGGAGATGATTATTTACTGCTTGACTATCTCAAACATCTACAGGGTTTGAAAACACGGAGCCTGCTCCCAGTACAGGATTACACAACCACCACACCAGGCTGTTTTCACGTCACACTCCAGGCTGAGTGGATTCTGCACCCTCTTTGGTTCAAGTTCTGAGCTCCCCCCGTGGTGCAGTTCTCCTTCCAACAAGGTGGATTTGATGCCCCAAAAAAAGTCAAATAATACTTGCCACTCTCTTCAAAGAAGTATCCATTTCTTGACATCGCTGCTGGTGGGGACTCTGGAAAAAGTAGAAAAAAATGGAACCATAAGAATCATCAAAGTGCAGAAAGGCACTCCCAAAATACTGCAGACATCAGAATGTCCCAACTTGAACCTTTTCATAAATTGACTGACTTCAGTATTTACCAGAACTTTCTGATACAGCCACAGGCAGTACTTGAAAATAATTAAGTCTCAAACATCCTGAGCTGGGACCACAAACCAGGACAAGCCTGGTCATCTCAGCACCTACCAAACCTGAATAAGTGTGGCAAAAAACCCCAAATAATATAAATCACACCTAAAATAAATCATAATCTAGAAGTTTTTATAAAAATCACAAGCCACAACAAAGTCCAGGTTGTACCTTACACTCAGATAAAATGAACCAGTATAATTTAGAAAAAAATAACTCAGTTTTTAGATGAGAATGGGACTTTGCATCCTGTTCTGCTGCTCCTAATCAATAGGATATCCCCAAAACAGTGCTTGGCACTGGAGAAAAGGCCCAGAACACCTCAGCCTTCCTTGGCCCTGGGGTCCTGCAGCAACTCCATCTGCACCAACAGGGTCTCACGAGGAAGCCAAAGTGGGAAATGGCACTGACCAAGAGCAAACCCACAAACACAAGAGCACCAGGAATGAATCCCCACAGTTCAGCAGGGAACACGTTTTTGGTACTGAACATCTCCAGGAGATAAAACAGCACAGGAGCACCTGCCTTCAGGTGTGATCAAAGCCTGGTGCCCAAACCCAGCCTGGCTGCTGTGCAGACTGACAGCCTGGCACAGCTCAGCCTGCGTGGGCAGAAGCACCAGGGCTCCCCTACAGGTGCGTGGCCCATTTTCCAACAAGAGAACAGAGCTCTGGAGTCCGAGCCCTGAGCGAGAGTCACCCAAAACTCTCAAACAAAAACCTCAGTGCTGCCTCTCTGCACGCTCCTTCCCAGCCAAAACGCAATCAGAGAGGGGAATGGGCTCGCTCTGTCTTTCCCCACTTCATCAGGCTAATCAAACAGTACCTACGCAAGCCTGGGAGGAATTTGGGCCAACAAGGAAAGAGGCTCTGCCTGCCTCATTGTTCTGCAGATTAGGCTTCCTGCTTTCCTGCTCGAGGTACGAGGCTGTTTCCCAAAGCCCCTTTCTCTCTACCCCATAACTTTTGGCTGGTAGGCAGCAGGCTTTTTTATTCCCTTTTCCAGTGGAAGCATCATCATCATCATCATTCCTCCTGGCCCCCCCGGGAGCCTTTGTGCACCGGGCGGATACAAGTCACGCCACTGACGGCAGCACCTTCCAGCCCTGACACTTGTCACCACTGACAGCACTGCAGGTTCCTGAAGGGACACCCTGATGACCATTAAAAAAGAAAAAAAGAGAGCCAGCACATAAACCAGAGGGCAATTCAAGTGTCTGGTCCAGGGGAGAGACACAGTGTTCCAAAGTTCATCCCAGAACAATGGGCCGGAGGAACAAAGGCACCGAACTGTGGCCAAGGGGCACCCGTTACACGAGTCAATTGTTTCCCTCCACCTGGAAGGGAAGGAGAAGATCCATCCAGACTGATTAGCATGCTAATGATCAAAGGAAAGTTCTGTAAAGGGGCTCTTATTGTGTAATGATTGCATTTACGTATTACAGGGACACAAACAAATGGATTACCCAAGGAACCGACATTCCCACCGGGATGGTTTATCCATTTCTCCCTCCTCTTACACGGCTTCTGAGGGAGCCTGGAGCCACATGTTCATCCCTCACTGGGCAAAACGAGACACTTGGCTTTTCCTTTAACTGAACACAGCTACTCCTACGGGTTGATGATGTCTAATGATCGGGAATTGCTTGCCTTATTCCTGGGAAAATTTCTTCCAACTGCAGCATCGCCCGGGTTGACACGGCTGACAGAGCAGAGCACGCCAGTCTGTGCAGCAAGAAATCACCATAACCACCTTCACTTGGGTGGCTGCTCGGACTGGGCATGAAAAGGGCAATGCTGGGGTGCTGGAGCCGGCAGTGCCATTTCACGAGGTGGCACTGGTCCCTCTGAGTCACTAATGAGCAACAGGCCCCCAGGCAACACGCTCGGGCAATTACGGTGGAGGTGCTGTTTTTTCAGATGAGTCATAAAACAGAGGTCCTAACCTTGTAATTAGAGATGCAATGGCACGTTTGGGAAACAAAAAAAGAAAAAAAAAGAGAGAGAGAGCCAGGCGTTCACCCTACTATGTCCTGGCAGAAATCCAGCCCTGGCAATTTGTCTTCTCCCAACATAATGCCGTCCCACAGCACCAACCCAACTCAGACTTCCAAAACAGCCTGGTTGGCGCCTTTGGAAGAGCTGCTCCAACCCCCACGGAAGGGGCCACGCACATTAAGAGCAGGAACCTGCGTGCAACGTGCCCAGGAGGGAAAAGGTGATGGGGTGTTTACACAAGCAGGGAGGGATGGGACTGGCTGAAAGGTCAAGGGATCAGCAGCAGTGGGAGGTAGGAAGGGGTAAATTGGGGGCTACATCATCTGCTCCTTCCCTGAGAACAGAGAGAACGCAGCACCCACCCAAGTTTTTCATAGAATAATTTGGGTTGGAAGGGATTTCTAAAGGTTATCAAAGTCCAACTCCCCTGCCACGGGGGCAGGGACGTGTTCAGCTCTATCAGGCTGCTCACTGCTCTGTCCAACCTGACCTAGAATATGTCCAGGGATGGGGCATCCACCACCTCTCTGAGCAACCTGTGTCAGTGCCTCACCACCCTCACTGTAAAATATTTCCTTACATATAATCTACATTGGCCCTCTTTTAATTTAAAATCATCACCCTTGTCTTACCACAACAAGCCCCACAAAAAGCCTGCCCCCATCTTTCTTCTAGGCCCCCTTTAAGCATTAAAATCTCAGAGTAAGGTCTCCCCAGAGCCCTTCTCTTCTCTCCAGGTTGCACAGCCCCAAGTTTTTAACCAAGCAGAAGGAAGGAGACAGATCTCAGGGGGAGTCCAATGAGTATCTTCTTTCCCATTAGTCCCTTTCTCCCCATATTTCCCAGAATTTACCAGAGGCAAGCATTCCTTATGCCAATGGATGCTACCCAAGGCCAAGGTTGTGCTGAAGTGCAGGCTCAGTAGCAGCCAGCAAGTAAAACATCAGCAGCTCCACCTGCCTCCCCTCTCAGGGCTTACAGGATTTAATATCCAAGGTCTCAGCTCCTTAGCCATGATCTCCTGGAGACAGGAGCACTGGGTTTGAGTTGGGCAGAGCCCCCTTTCCTCCAGTCAATCAGGTCCATACCCACCTGACCACACACACCATCCTGCCTTTCCTCTCCCCACCTCCAGAAATCAGGAGAGTTCAACCTCAGGGCAGTTATAAAACACCACAGTAACAGATGGAAGCCTGGGCAGGAGCACAAGTCCCCAAATTCATTAGGGATCAACGTCATCATGCTCCAGGGTTTGCCTGAAGTTCCAGCAGTGTTTCCACAAAGAAAAAAAATCTTCCTCCAGCCTGCAAAGGCTGAGGAGTTCCCCCCTCTCCTCCTTCACACCTCATCCCTCAGATCCACCAAACCCACGTGTTGATTCCTTCACCTGGGTTTGCTTTCAAAGACTTCAGCAATTAAAAAGGAAAAAAAACAAAACCAGAAAACCAAACCAAGCAAAGCAATTTCAACAAGGTCAAGCTTCTAGAGATGAAGCTGGAAGGCATTACCCCAGGGAACTAAGAGGTACAGCACCCTCATTCCTGTGTCCCCAGGATCTCTCACCGTGTCCTCATTCTCCAGACTCTCCCACCCAACACCTACAAGGACAACCAGACTCTCCACCTGCTCTCCCTCCAAAAGCAGAACAAGATGCCACCTTCCACTACCTGCCAAAGAGCACAGTTTTAAGCTCTTTTGACTATTTAAGCTGTGCTCTTCATTTTTAAGAGTTAATTTACTCCAGCAAATAAGTTTCTACCGCCACCCCACCTTATTCCCTGCAGGGATGTCTATTAAATGAGACTAAATTGGAGAGGCACAGTGTCACTACTCAGTTTCTTCCTCAAAAGGAACATTTCTGAGCTTTCTGAGCACTGAACTCAAAGGCAGAAGCGACGAGCTGAAGGGCTGCAGAAGAGAAAACAAAGCTTATTTCTCCAGAACTCAAGGATCCAGAGTAATCAACTCCCCTTTGAGTTGAGGCAGTGGCAGTGACCCCAAGAGTCACCAAAGGCAGAGGTGTTTCACAGTCACAGAATGGTCTGGGTTGTCAGGGAGCTAAAAGACCATCTCATTCCAACCCCCTGCCATGGGCAGGGACACCTCCCACCAGACCTTCATGAGAACTTTGCTTTTTAACTGGCAGCACAGTCCAGTTTGCTGTTTAAGGTGCTCAGTCGTAGGTCTAGGACAAACCCAGATGATCCACCGTGGGAAGCATCAGGCAAGAAGTGGGTCCATTTCCTGATTTCTGACATTCTTATCATTTTTTACATTTACATTTAACAACAAAGCCCCAACCCTGCCATCCTCCATTATTAAATTCCTGCGGGCACCGTGTCTCCCATCTAATAACCCACTTTTAACTCCCTTGTTTTAAAGTTAGTAATAAGTTCTCTTGAGCCTCGCAATATTAGTTGGATTATGAATAAAAACACATTCTCTGGATACTTGGGTAACTCAATTACAGTGCTCTGCTGCTGGCATCTTCCAAGTAAACAGCCCTCTGCAGCACAAGCCTTATATTGAAGTAAAATACATCTCTGCAACAGCCTTCCTACGAGCAGCACCACAGCCTTTGGCTTTTAGGATTTCTCCACAGTAAATCTCTCACAGTTTTAGTGGGTTTGATATTTTTGAGAGAGTTACTGGAGAGGTACTTTTTTATTTACAGGCCCTTTAATACTGGTAAGCTCTTGGGGTGTCTATGAACACAGGCAGGTTGGACATCTGGAGAACGTGGTTACCCCACAAGTATCGATCAGAAAACATCAGGTACCTTCACCATCTCTTACTCAGGGTGTGCTCCAATATCCCAATTTCATA